GGAAAGAAGCTGGTGAGATTCGGATCAGAAGAAGGATGAAGACAAATTTGCTGGAAGCTGAGGAGAAGGCAACATACAAGCCAGCAGAAAAGTGGGGGAAGAGAGTGACTAAAGCTGAGGTAAGGGAAGAGACTTGAGTTTGATGAAAACAGACTGGTTTCAAAAAACCAAGGCAAATGAATAAAAATACGATAGGAGACTGTATTTGCAGGGTGGATGATGTTCCAACAGCATGGTGATACTGTTTTAAGTATATGCAGTATCAAAATGATTAGATATCGTAGAACAGTTTAAGTTGGAAGGGACCTCCAGAAGTTATCTAGTCCAGCCCCAATCAAGGCAGGTCTGATTAAGCCAGGTTACCCAGGGCTGTGTCAAGTTGAGTGTTGAACACCTACAAGGATGGAGAGTCCATAACCTTTCTTGGCAATCTGTTCCTGTATTCGACCACTCTTGGGCGGGGGGGAGTAACACTGTAGCAGCAATATCTCTGTGATAGCCTGACCCGTTTCTCTACAACATAGGCCAGTTTTACATCTCCTTTAGTTCTCTCCCTGTCCTCTTCCTCAGAGCTCATAGGCCTGTCTGGTTAGCCTGTCTTCTCCACTGGGGAGGAAGAAAAGAGGCTGAAAGTGAGCAGCACATCTACTTTTGGCTGAGGCTACGCCTCCCTGCACAACAGAGTAACAGAGCAAAACTGCTGCATCACCAAAGAGTGAGTGAAAGCTGGGGTTTTGCTGTTTGGGAGGGTTCCAGTGCTACAACCTCCATTACAGGGGATGTACTTCTAAGATGGGTCTGAATATGAACTGTCTTGAAACAAAGAGGCAGGAGGGTGATAGACTATGGTGAGATGGACACGTAGAGCAGGCCAGAAGTAAGAGAAGACTTGGGGACTAGTTGCAGAAGGAGTTCGTGTGGACATTGGCGTGTTTTTAGATTATTTTGACAAGAAGGATGGGATTATATTTGGGAAGAGGGACGTGCTGGTAATTTGGTACCATGATAGGACTGGCTGAAGAAGGAAACTGGTACTTCAAGGAGAAGGGATGGCGCTGGGGATACAAAGCTAGTGGAAGGACAGAGGATTGGGAAGAGGATATATTGGAAGGGATAATTTTAAAGGAGTTGGAATTGGGAGAAAACAGCAACACAGTCTGTGTAAGTTACAGCACATTGATTGTCCAGATCATCTGGAATAGGGGAAAATAGTGAACGTTGTTCTGCTGTGTGCAGCAGTTCACTCTCTTTTTTTTTTTTTTCAGTGTGTGATAAGTATTAATCAGCCACACTACAATAACAAACACTGTAGAATAATTTAAACAAATACTTTTGCTCCTTTGGCCCTTGAATTTATCTTGCATTAGATTTCTTTTCCTTCCAAAATAGCCGTTGACCCTTTAAGCAATTGGTTCTGCTCTGACTCTTTCAGGACTTCGCAGTTGTCTGCATTGACTAGCTTCCTCTCTACTTCCCCAAAATTGAGAGAAGAAGTATAAGCTCTGGAGGAAGGACATTATTCTATTTTAAAGGCAGATAATATATTAAAGATGCTGGGGGCTTCTTAAAAGATACTTTGTCTAAGAGAAGGGGTACTCTAAAGTAGACCTGAAAGGCCTTTGCGGTGCAGCCCCTGCTGAAATTGTTTCAGAATATAGTTCTAGTGAAAACCAGTGGTTGTGTAGCCTTTCTTCTCCAGTGTGTGAAATGGTCTAGCTGCTTTGCAACCTCCTTCCATGAGGCGTCCTGAAAATTGAGTGAATGGAAAACATTGACAATACAGAACACTGTTAACAGTTAAGAAGACAAGACAACCTCTGTGCACCACTAGCATCTAATACCATAATTACTTAATTGAACTTGCTACAAGCTGGCAGTACCTCTGGAGAAGCAGTCCTTGCAAACTGGTCTGGAATAAAACTTTTTTTGGTGCTAGTTTATTTTTTTAACTGCGTCAGTTTTCTGATCTTATTTGCTGTACAGTATGCGAACACTGAGCATAGGGCCACTTCACTTCAGTGCTTGTTTAAGCTGAATCCTGTGGCTACAGCATGTTGTCCTATTTTTGGTTTATGAGCAAAGCGCTTTCTAAGTAAGCGTTTTGTCCTATTTTGAGATAGGGGAAAGAAGTTACTAGTCCAAAGTCACTAACGTGGAGACGGTAGAGGAAGGAGTTGAGCTCAGGATCTCTTATGTCCTCGTACAATTCCTTGTCCCTTAGATTATAGTATCCAAAAGAACTTAGCTATTTCATTTTCTTCAGAAACATCTAGTATAAACACAATTTAGTCTGGATGGCTTCTCTGCACTGGCTCTTTTTCAGTTGTATTACATCTCTTTTAGAGACCTCATTTTCTATAAAAGCTTCTTTTCTTGAAAAGGATGCTGGGAACAAGAATTTCCCATCTTCCCTTGGATGTTAAAAAATCTCTCATATCTCTTTTGAATTATATTTTGGTTTCTATTTTAACTGTATCTTCTTTTTGATGTTCAGAGTTCTTCAAGGTTCAAATTCTCTATTACAGGCCTATAATTTAATCTCCTTAATGTTCCAGATAGATATTATGTAGGATTTTAATCTTGGAAGGCATATTTCTTACTGAATTGTGAACTGATCATTAGTAGTGTTTTTTTCTTATATGATTTTCAGTGTAGTGCATGAAAAAAATTGCTTTATTACAGGAGGTTTAAAACCTTCCTAAAGCTACCTGGTCCGCTTTCTTTATTAAACTGTATCTATTCCATTAATTGGGCTCTTAACAGTTAACCAAACTGTCAATAATATTCTCATACGTGCCAAGGTGATTGAGACTCCAGGTCCATTTTCAGGAGGTAATGTGGGTACTTGGTGTAATATCACATTAAAAGTTAGCGGGACTTGGACCGTAGCAACACATTTGCTTTGTGCACAGCATTTAGGTTAAAGTGTTTCAGACAGCAAAAGCAGCAGAGCTGCAGCAGCTGGGTGTGCGTTGGCTTTTTCTCTGCTGAGACTAAGAAACTTATGTAGCTGCCTGCCTCTCTAGGAAATAGAGTGTGGTTCAAAGTCACTTGGATGTATTTGGAAAATATTACTCTGGTATAATTTTCAACTACTAAATTAGTGTACCAAACCTTTTAAATACTGCAGGCATGCTGGAGTACCTAAATGGTCTAGTTTGCTCTTGTTATTCTTTAGTTTTGACATAAGCACGAGTTTCTCAGCGGTCTTTGAGACCGTTGATGAGTTGCTCATTCAAGGGCAGATTTCTGGATTGTAGAGGTAAAAATAGTTTAGTTATTTAGAAATGTAATCATAAGTAAATTAAGAAAACCTAGATTATTCTTCTCAGCCTGGAACTGTAAACCAGCAGGTCATAGAACCATAATAAGATTAAAAGCTTTGATTGCTTATCTGTAACCTTTTTGTGATATTATCTAACTGCTTCTTATTGTAAGAAAAACTCTTGACTATCAAAAAGATTGGGGTGGGGGGGAAAGTTGCTTTAATGCTGTGTAGCTTAGATTGCAATTCTATGTGATATATATATGCATATATTATTTTTAATAATGTGCTATTGTCATGGGTGACTGTGGGTGAATTGTTTTAATTTATTTTATTTTTATTTTATTTTAATTGTTTTAATTTATTTTAATTCTGGGGACAAAAAGATATACTTATCTTACATTACTTATACCATCATCACCACCATTATTCTTTATACACTGGTTGAATAATTCATATTTAACTGAAATCTAAATGTGGTTGATGCACTTCAGTTTAGTAACTGCTACCTGAAGTTCTTAACAGCTTAGTTAATTGAGGTAATAATATTTAGCTATTTCAAACAACTTTTTTTCCTCTGGAGTATTTTCCAGGTAAGTCAATCATTCATTGCATCTTCTTTATGTGGAAGGTAACATAAAATATTTGTATCAGCTCTATAAAAATCTAATTAAACTTGGATTGTCTTTAACTCGTTCTGGTTCTGTGTTTAAATTTTCTATCTATGTTTTGTGAATACTTTCTTTCTAGGTAGACAATGTTATTAGCTCAGATAAATCGAGACTCTCAGGGAATGACTGAATTTTCTGGAGGAGGAATGGAGGCCCAGCATGTGACTCTTTGTCTAACAGAAGCTGTGGCTGTGCAAGGTGAACCTTCAGGTTAAAATATCTCTACATTATTGTGTCTTTTCTGTTTGTAATTCAGATAAAACTCTAAAACTCACGTAGTGTATTCTAAATGAAAAATCTAACAGAAATTATTCTTAGTTAACCGAGATTGATGAAGTTCACTAATGTAATTCTGAAAGGAAATGATCTCTTAATTAAGGTAAAGGTAATACGAGTGTAAATGTGCCAAAACAGGAAATAAAAAATCTGACTTTATTCTCACTATAGTTTTACTGTTTTATACTTTGTAACTTCAGTTTATATCTAAGTATGTATTAAATAAGTGGAGTTTTAAATAGATTGGTGATCTAGGATTGGTTTGAACTTGATGTTTTCTGAGAGCTTCATTACAATTTTACATGATTAAAAACTTTTTCCTAAATCTGTGTTTTACTGTAAATAGATTTGTGTGTAATAATAACAGGTAGTAGTGTACAAAACAAAATTATCAATACAAGTAATATATATCATTATTTCACTGTTGACACTCATGACTTAATATTTCTCCTATAACATGACACTCATGACTTAATATTTCTCCTATAACATCAGCTTTGTAGTTAGTTATTCAGTGACATTGTAACTTTTTTAGTTAAGGAAAATAACATTCTAGCTGTCATGTTTACAGAGCAAAATCTTGAACATATGACCATAGCATATGTTCAAGGCTCAAAAACCAGAAAGCAAGAAAGAACTATATCCTATTATTATTTCTGAAATCATTATGCTTTAAGGGGTTGTAATCATTTATGGAGGTGCTTAAGTTGTGATTTTTGGGGTTTGATGCTGGTAATAGTGAATGTGAACTTTTTTCCTTGCTAGATGGTGACAACTTAGAAAACATGGAAGGTGTAAGTTTGCAAGCAGTTACTCTTGCTGATGGCTCCACTGCTTACATACAGCACAATTCTAAAGGTAGGTAAATGACTGGAAGTTGATTGGTATTGAAATTGTGTTGCCCTTTTTAACCCTGTCTTTGGATTGTAAACCCCTTTGGATTGTAAAGTCAGGCAAAATCTGTATAATGTTCATGAAGTTCCAATTCCAGCTGGGAATTACAGGTATTATAGTAATACCTATAAAACAAGTATTTATTTCTTCTACTAATAAGATGCAGGTATCAAATGCAGAGCATAAGTCAAACAAAAGTGAGGTGATCTTTACACTTCAAACCCAAATGTCAACATTCTTCCTACTGAATAGGACATCAGGCCTTTTCCATTTTTTTACCCCAGAATATTAAAACCTCTGTATAGTCATACTGTGCTTACTCTTTACCAAACGTTATTTCTCAGTAATATTTTATTGATATTTTAATCGAGAAAGTATCAACTGTGTGTTTAAACTGTGATGTGTCATACAGAATATTTTTTAAGAATTCTAATTGTATATTTCAGATGGTAAATTAATGGATGGCCAAGTGATTCAATTAGAAGATGGTTCTGCTGCTTATGTTCAACATGTACCCATGCCTAAAAGCAGTAAGTGTAGTAATACAAGAAATACATTCTAAAATAACGTATTAATGATAAATGTTGATATTAAGTAATTAACACTCATTATAATAGCTTGATTTCTTATTTTAATGGAAACAGTTGTGAAGAGATCCTAGGTATTTTGTAAGCCTAGGTATTTAGTGTTTAATCTTTCTAACTAATGTATTCTTCAAACTATTGTTGAAGCATTGTAATTCTTTCTTCTGAACAGGGGACAGCTTTGGTTCAGCTGGAAGATGGAACTACAGCATTTATTCATCACACCTCGAAAGGTAATTTCTTTTTTGAGTGTGATTTATTACATTAGAGTTCAACAGAACTTCAGCAGTATAAAGTATGGTACTCTTTTTAGACTATGACATCATTTAGTGTGATTCCCAATGTAGATTACCTATTGCTTTTACTTTGTGACATCTGGAAATTGTTGAAATGAGAGTGGTTCAGTTCCTTGTTTGGGCCTCATATAACAGTTACAAACAGAATCAAAACCAGCGTATTTCACTTTTTTTTAGCCCAGGAGCACATTAAAGTAAGTATGTCACGTTAGTAGAGAATGTAAGCCCTTATACAGATTTCAGCAATAATTGCATGTGCAAATGAGAAGAGAAAGCAGGTAAGAATCAATCAGCCAATCCCTCTTGAGCTAAAGAATGTAGAGATTGACTTAAATTTTAAAGATCATGCTATTGATGATTTTGCCATGAGGTAGTAGGGCAGAAAATGTGACAGCTGACAGTCAAGAATGCAAACGTATTAATTTTAAATGATAACTTAGATTTCTGCAGATGTTTACACTAGTCTTGGAAATAGTACTACTTCTCTGCAAAAAGTGAACAAGTAGATATTTTAAGTCTGTTTTAAACTAGTGTGACAAGAATTACATTCTACAATCAACAATACTAAGAGGATAGAGTGACTTTTAAGGAAGAAATTCTTTATTATATTCTGTATTTTATGTGTTTCTTTTGCATATTTACATGATTTTGTTCTTAAAATGATCAGAATTCTAAAATAATAATAGAATTCTAAAATAAGTATTGACATCAGTACAGGTGTTACATTATTTTCATTGTATTATGAGTGGATATGAAATGGAAAACATATTTGTGTTCCTGGTTTCCTTTGTAAATAAAGCTAGATCAATGTAAAATTGGCTTTGCACTTTTATAAGTGTGCAGAAATAAAGTTACGGAAGGTGTTTTCTTGAAAAAAATTTCATTAGTGCTGTTCATAGTAATATTTTAAGTGTTTATATTTCTCATATGCTAGTGGTTATGTTTCTCATACATTTCATACATATATGTGACTTCAGGAGACATTTCCTAGACAGCAGTAGTTTGTCGTGTAACATGCAGACATTGCTATTCCCTTTCTTTCATAACACTTTATAATATTATTTCTCAGACAGCTACGACCAGAGTGCATTACAAGCAGTCCAGCTGGAGGATGGAACTACTGCCTACATTCACCACACGGTGCAGATGCCACAGTCGGATACCATTTTAGCCATTCAAGCTGATGGCACAGTGGCAGGTCTTCATACAGGAGATGCTGCCATTGACCCAGATACCATCAGTGCTTTGGAGCAATATGCAGCTAAGGTATGGTGGAAGACATTTTCCCTATCCATAACATTTTAATATAGCATCACAAGATATTTGGCAGCAAAACCCAATTGTGATTTAAGAATTAAAATGGTAATTAAGAGAGTCTTCAGACTCTTAGAAGAGAGAACACCAAATTGTCATGACAGTGCTTAACTATCATGAGCAGCTTCAGTGTGTAGTGTTCCATAAAAGGAATAAAAGATTGAACACTGATATGATGTGGAGTCAGACTGATTTGGAAAGCGATTTAGGCAACTAAATAATAATTTTCTCTAAAATATAGCATTGGAAAGGAACCTCTTGAGAGGACGCTGTTTGGAAAGGAGAAAGCTAAATTATTCTTGTTCAGGCACTATTGCTGGATTTTTTTTTTTTTCTTGCATTGGGAAGAGTAGGGCCTTGCGTACTGGGCAAGTACAACGCGTGGTATGAAGTGTAAAATAGACAATTAGACAGTTCCTGAGTTTGGAAAAAACTTCTTTGATCCATACTTTCAATAGTAGAATGTAGTATGATGCTCAAAATTCATGTTGTCCACTTTACTGGACTTCTGTAAAGCATGATATAAGTATAGTAATGGGTGGTGCAAGTTCCATGACTTTATAGTTTAGCAGTGTCCCAGTTGCTGGTTGATTACCATCAGTGCTTGTATTGCTCTGGAAAAAAGAGTAGAATAAATTTTGAAATCTGTCCTCTAGCATCACTGAAAGTTGTCAAATTCTGGGAGAAGGCCAGTTAGGATAATTAAATGGCTTATACACTATTCTTTCCATTTTGCTTCTGTCTGTTATAATTGAGAGATCCTAAGAGAGCCAGTCAGATTGTGTTGTGTTTGGCTATGCCTTAACGTTTCATAAAATAAAAGGTAATTCAAGGTTAGCTGAGCTGTAGTGACAAACTTTTACACATTCCCTAGCTACTATTTAATTTAGGTTTAAATCAATCATAACTTTGTCCTTCTTAACAAGGAGCTATATTAATCATAATTTGTTACAAGTTTCTGTTTTGAGAAGGTGAAGAAGAAACAGAAGAAGTGCAAATAAATTTGCATTTTTGTCCTATTTATCTCAACATGTGTTGTTTAATTCTGTAATGTAAATTTGTTTTCTGTAGTGTACTTGTGTGTGTCTAGGAAAAATTCTATTTATTTTCTTTAAGCTTTCATCTTGGAACCTTATTCTGAAAGGTACTGCTAGAACCTCTCAGGGAAAGTCAGTAGAAGTGAGTTTGCACCTGTTTTACGTACAAAAGCAAGTAATAGCTCAATCGTCACAACCCTGTCTTTCTCTTAAAAGGAGAAATGTGGTTTTGTGATTCTACTCCGTGTCCGTGTACGTTTCATAGTGAGGCAATGTATACTTTTCATAGCAGCTGGTATAGGAACATTGAAAAAGGTAGAGGAAGGGGCAACAGTGATGACCAAACATATGAAATACACAAGGTAAGTATATAGAATTTTATAAAATTTTAAGTGGCACAAAGAAGAGTAGTGACTTGTCATTGTCTTTACCAGTCTAAGAACTGGGAAACATCGTATCAAACTCTCAGGTGACAGGTTCAAGAAGAACAAGGGAAGAATACTTTTTCAAACAGCACAAAGTTAAGCCATGGTACTGCTTGTAGGATACTGTGGATGCTAATATGTCCTTGGATTGAATGAGTAATTAGATAAATTCATAGAAGAAACATGTATTCAGGGCTATTAGGTAGAAACACGTGACTTCTAGTTCAGGAAGTTACTAAACCACAAATTGCTTGGAGGTTGGGAGAATATTTCTGGGAATGTATCATTGTATGCTCGGCTTGTTCCTTTAGTCTTCTCTAGCATCTGCTGATGGCTGCTGTTGGAAACAAAATGGTGCACTAGATTGACCTTTAGTTTGACTCAGTATAGGTGTTCTTATGTTCTTAATTGAAAGCAGACTAAATCTTTCTTTAGCATCTAAGACAGTTTTTTAGGAGTAACTCCAAGATCTTCCTTGGAATCCTTCCAGAATTCTCCCAGTACTGCAAAAAAGAGGTTTAAAATTATATGCCTTGCTTTTTTTGTTAATTTTGAAGGTTTGCCCTTCAAAACTTAAAAGGGCGAAGAACATTTTAGAGGTGGATTTGGAGAATGGTGGTTCTTCTCTGTTCCCCTGTTCTATATAACATGCAGAAATAGTAAAGATCAGTAGGCTGCCCAAGATCAGTGTAGAAACTCTTACAGAGAGTTCATGCAAAGAGATCCAAGAAGACTACAGAGAAGCTCACTGGAAGTGGTGGAACATGTACATTTTTCATTGTCCCTTGTTTCTCCTTTAGGCATAGTACTACCTTCCCACATCTTGCAGAGCACGTGCAAAGACTTAACTAGAGTCCTCTTCATGTTGGGCTAAGTCAATACCACCTTCCTCCCAAAGCAACCAAGGAAAAAAGAGATCGTTGCTCTCAGTGAACATAAAGTCAGAAGATATGTAATGAAATTGTGAAGAGGTTACAAAACATGATTTTCTTCCATAAGCTATTTTCGTGCGACGTGCCAGCTACTGGAAAAGTACAGTTCCTGGGATTTGTGTATGTCTACACACATGCACGCGTATTCCGTTTGGATCCTTTGTTTCCAGTGGTATTGATGAACTTTTATTTTCATGTCAGCAGTGTCTTTCTCAACCAACAAGAGGAAGTTCAGGATGAAGTGATTCAAGTCTCCTTTCTGTGCAGGTTCTCTCCCCTCCCTTCAAAAATTCTGCAGGAAAAGGTCCCAAAATGGCTATTGTTTCCTTTAAAAAAAAACACACAAGAATTACCCGCTTGCAGACTCTAATTGCAGTCTCTCTGTAATGTAAACGTGCCTCTGCTTGGGCACTTTCCTCTTCACTGTTTTAGCTCAAAGTTGCCAAAAGTATATTGCTCACAATCGTCTAATTTAGAAAGATAGTACAATCTGAAAACCTCTTACGGGACAAGTTCAATCTTGAGTCTCCAAGCAAAATGTTGGTAGCTGATGCTTTGAGCAAGATACTTTACACAAGCATTAATGTGCTCAGGAGCCTGCTGTGACCTCCTTAGTGAAAGGGCATAAGCATTACCGGCTGAAGTAGGGTTCCTGCCAAACTATCTTAGAGAAGAATAAAATCACTTAGACTAGATTTAGGTGCATCAATCTCAGCCTTGAGTATAATGGATGCAGAGTATTGTGAATGCCTGTGCTCAATACAGAGGCAATTAAGGAATAGGAAACTACATAAAGTATACTTTAAATTAGTTTTTTCTACAGTGACTAATAATATGCTGTTCTTTGAGTTGGTGTATGTGAGAGAGTTGTTGTTTTTTTAAAAACTGGGCAATTATATTTTTATTTAAATAAAAATTTCAAATTAACATCTAATACTCCTTCAAATATTTGTATAAGCTCCTTGGAAAGCAGCAATACCTTTCTCCTCCTGTAGGCTGTTTTTATAAAGAAACCTATGGAGCAATACATAAGTCTTTGCTTAGCTGTTGTAATCTGATTATTTTGAACTGAGATATAACACATTGTCTTGGGTATTTTGATCCCAAAGGAGTTGTGCTGTTCGAAACAAGTAAATTCTGCTTAACAGGGAGTGAGAGATATATCCCTATTACAAAAGAAGTAAACATTTTTTTTTTTTTGTCAAAACTCAGTATTGTTAAATTTATTAGTTCATTTTAATACTTTTGTCAGTCTATTAATTTAACATACTTGGTTCTTGCAGTCTTTCCTACCTTGTTTTAAGATAACTTTGAGATGCTCACTTTACTTATTCTATAATGCAGGTGCTACAAGTGGTGATTTTCATGTAAGCTAATGTATAGGATAACTATGTTTCAAGAGGGAGCTAGAGAGCTATGAAATAATAAGCCCTCAGGAACTGTCCGTAACCCTTTGTTTTTCAGATTAATAAAAATAACCTGTAAATGTTTTTCCCCATTTCAACTTTGTTTTTCAGGTGTCTATTGATGGAAATGACAGTGTTAGTGGCACAGGAATGATAGGTGAAAATGAACAAGATAAAAAAATGCAGGTATGTAGCCCAAAACAAAATAATTAAATATATCTGTTTCTTCTGTCTTCTCTGCCCAGCAACGTGCATGATAGGTAGTCCTGTGTAGCCATGACCTAGGGTCTGCTGCTACCCCTCAGGAATTTTAGATCTCAAACCTATACAGATAGGTCCTATTTCTCACTTTGTACAAGATCCTTTCACAGGATTTTAAAAAGATCTTCTAATACTTACTGTTTTCTGGGTTTTTTCTGTTAAAAGGTAATTAAATATTATGTTGGATTTCTAAGATTTTTCAAGCTGACCTGAGTATTTCATCAGTAAGGGTGTAAGTATTTCAGAAGTTCTTTTCCAGAGAGTGAACTCACTTCTTATAGTCCTTGAGGCAGAAGGAATGCTGACTCAATTAATGAATTACTTTCTTCTCAAGAGAGACAATTCAGGCATGTGTCTGGAGCTGTTCTCTGTTTGGTGACTTATTTTGATTCCACTTGCCCTGTTAGAGTCCCTGACTTTTGTTGCGAGTTTTGTAAGTAATCAGTAGGTAAGAGTGTTGCTGCTAGTGAACACTTAAAGAAGCAGAAAAATACTTCCATTTCTTTTTCTGTATTCATATTGTTAGTACACAGAAATATAAAAACCTTTTCAATGTGAAAATATTAACTTAAAAGTTCAAAGGACAATGGAAAATACAGGTGCAACTTATTAAGTCTCAAGCTTTTTTTTACCTGGGATCTGTAAAATTATGTAAGGAGAATGGTATTTGTCATCATAATATATTTTATTAAAGGAAAAGACAAAGCAAAACATATTCTGGGCTTCAAAGAATCACAACCAACAACAAAAATAATAATAAACTCCCTCTACCCTTACATGTTCAAATGGAAAAAAAAAAAAAAAAAAAGGCGCTAGGTCCCACAATATTTAAAGCCTCAGACACTCCACTGTTGGCTGTGTAGCATGACTGGGAAAGGAGACAATAGCTAATACATCCATTATTTATGATATTGGAATATATTCCATAAAATGAAATCAAGTGTGCAAATCAAGGTTTTGCACACTTGTAGGTTGGAATAGGGATACAACTCCTACAAAATGCAAAATTCAAGGAAGAATAAGATAAGATCTTGGTTGGTTTTACCTAGAAGTAAGAGCCTATTAAGCAAAATGACCTGTAAGCAGTATCTAGTTACTTTTTGGTTTCAGCCTCAGCCCCAAAACAAAGTGAATCTGGAGGTTGTTTTATATTATACATGTATGGCAACACATATGCCATATGGAAACGTGCCAATCTTATGGAGCATTATATGTTCCAAACAAAATAAGATCTGATATTTCAAAAGGTATTGAGGCTTAGTCTCAAATTCTGACCCCTATAAGGTGACTTCAGTTGGCCAACTGAAGGGTCCCAAAGCTATCAATTATCTGTGAAAATCTTAATCATGTCTATATCTTGATTTAAGTAGATACCTATTTGTATCTCATTCTGAAATAATATATTACTTGGAATAAAATAATCTCATATTTAGACATAGTATTAAATAAGTGTATATTTATAAACTTAAGTCCACAGGTAACATAAGAACAGAACAGATGTCATGCTGCTAACTAGTCATTCAAACTTGCATGTGGTTAGGTTTTTCACCAAAGAAAAAAGCATAAAACCTCTTTGTGATTTCTACACGTGAAAACAAAAGACTACGTGTCCCCAAATGGATATCAGACGATTTCCTTTCAAACCTGTCATACCCATCTGTTCATAATAAAAGCAGAATCATACAACTGAAGTTTGTGTATGTATACAATTAAAAATCTTATCTGAGATCTTCATTACCTTTGTTCTCCTGTGTTGCCTGTCTGATCTCAGGAGCATTGGTGATTTCTTTTAAAATTATTTTTTTTTAAATTTTGTCTATTTAGAAGTATTTTGAAGTACACAATTTCTCTCAACAAGTTTCACATTATTATAAAGGTGTTTTATTCGCTATGTTCTTCTGATTTTGTGCCTCTTAACATCTGAATTTTTTAGTTTATTTAGAGTGTATTTCTTCTAAGAACGGTAATTTTAATACTATATCCGTCCTTGTTGAATGATAATGCTAACTGAATTCTTAATAATCCTCAAGTCATACCAACTAATGTATTGTGAAGAAACACATACTTCTGCCAACAGTTGTTTGAACAAACAAATGCTCGTGATGTTCAACTGATTTTTTTCCTAAGTCTTCTGTTTGTTTTATTGCACACACACACACAATTTGTATCAATCTTAATATTGGTAAAATTATGTCTGGTTATTTCCTTGCAGATATTAGCACATTGATTATAGAACTGTTTTAATTTTCTTTTAAACTTTGCCATACTTCAGCTTTATAGCAGATCTTAGCAACTATATATGTATTTTTATATGGTGAAACAACAAAGAAATACCAGCAGGTTTACTGATAGGAAAACAAATCAATGCTTCAGCGCAGGTGCTCAATCAAGCAGCTTCTTCATGACCCTTAGTGTATTAAAGTGACCTCTATGATTCATGATATCATAGGTTAAACAATAGTATTAGTAATGGGTTTCTTGATTCAGGAGGTTGTGTTTCTCCATGGTTCCAGAGAAGCTTTTCTGAAGTGGTGGAGTTGTACATTTCAGTTGATTAAAAATTTCATATTCAACTTTGCATCTTTAGTCTTAAGAACAGTCTGAAGGTAACAGGGGGCATCTTCCCTGAAGAATCTGTAGGAAAGTTGTTCTCAATCAAATTTCTGATCTATCTGAATGAGAAATTAGAGGTCTATGCACAGTTGCAGGGCTACGGTCTCATTGGGATGAGGGAGATGTGGTGGGATGGTTCAGATGACTGGAATGTTGTGATGGATGGATACAGACTCTTTAATAAGGCCAGGTGGGGAAGGAGAAGATGGGCAGCTGCCCTTCATGTGAGAACAGCAGGACTGCACGGGGCTCTGCTTTGGGATGGGTGATGAGCCAGCCAATGGGTTAGAATTAGCTGGCAGACCAGTGTGGGTGGTGTGTGGTGGCTGTCTGCTACAGAGTGCCTGATCAGGAAGAAGATGTGGCCTTCCTCAGACAACTGGAAGAAGCCTCATGTTCACAGGCCCAGGTCCTCACGGGGAATTTTAACCACCTCAGTATCTGCTGGAAGAGCATCACAACAGGGCACATGAATCCAGGAGGTTTCTGGAGTTCAGGGATGGCAACTGGCAACCTAAAGCAGATTATTGAGTAGCTGGCGAGGTGAAACACTTTGCTGGACCATGTACTTACCAAGAAGAATTAGTTGGGAATGTGAAGGCTGGGAGCAGCCTTCAGGAGTCTCCATCCTTAGAGATACTCAGAACCCATCTGGATACTGCTGTGGGTGACCTGCTGCAGCTGACCCTGCTTTGAGCAGGAGGTGTTGGACAAGAAGATCTCCAGAGGTGCCTGCCCACCTCATCCATTCTGTGAAATGCTCTTTTGACAATTCAGAATAGAATTAGATCCATAAGAAAAGGGGGGTGGCTTAAAAGGACAGACCTTTTAAAATAGTCTCTATTACTTTGTATACAGTTGTATCAAAATGTTTACATTTGGGCTTCTGCCTCTTTCTTCAGTCTGTATGAATGTTGCTTGTGTATTAAAGAAGCCTTTAAAAGGGGCTTAAGTTGCATCGCAAAGCTATTCTGTATATTTTCCTGTTGTGTCATGCCAGAAAGGAGAGTAGAACCTAGCTCAAATTGCTCCCATTAATTTGATCAAAACACATGCATCACTGACAAAGTACAAAATGCTCTCATTCATTTTCGAAAAGTGTTCATTATAAGTGCATTTAATTATTGTTTGGCCTTTGCATGAACTTACCTTTGAAGGTGGTCTGATTTATGGCTAATCTCCCATAGGAACAGATCCAGTACCTTAGATGTAATCTAAGTGTCTTCTGTCTACTAATTTGGTCATCTTACCACTGGGCTTGTATTTCAAATTATTTTGTCTTTGTTGTTATTTGGCTAATTAATGTATGCATTTAAATTTGCTAGCTACAAGTAAATATGTTTTACAATTTCTCTTTTCCTTTCTTCAGAACTTATGCTTTTTACTTATTTATTTTTAGTTTATTTATTAAGGACTAAGAAATACATGGCATAGCAAAGGGAGACAAAAGAAACCTGTCAGAATCAGTTCTGGCTTGATAGCAAAATAAAGTGTGTGATTTTTCTGATCCATTGTGGGTTTGTTTGTTTGTTTGTGTTTTTAATGTTTGTTTTTTTTTAAACTTAAGATTGTCTTGCAAGGACATGGAACAAGAGTGACTCCAAAATCTCAGCAGAGTGGAGAGAAAGCCTTTCGCTGTGATTATGATGGCTGTGGAAAACTGTACACAACAGCTCACCATCTTAAGGTGATGAGATGTAAAAGGAGCATTGTGACTTTGCACACATGGGTTTTTTTGACAGCTTATGTAGTTAAAAGTAACAGAATGGTGCTGTTTTGTCAAATGTTTATTGGATTGATTTTACAATAATTGGTTGTCCCGGGTGCTCAGCTGATTTTGCTTAGTGTTCTGGATAGATGCAGGTGTGGGATCATGTTAGGCTCCTATATTGCCAGCATGTAAGAATTCTCTTGTTGAGATAGTTTCTACCAGCAATGTCACAGAAATTCTGAAATCCAGTGTTTGCTTTATCTACCTTATGTGTATGCATGATCATTTCCAATTTTTGAAAGATTTTACCATCATAATACAAAGTCTAACTCTTCAAAACAATCCAACATTTAAAGTGAAAAGCTGGAACATCTTTTCTTTACAGGTGGCAACTCCTTAATGCTCATCCTTTCTTTTTAAATTAAGTAAAGGAATTACTGAAACAGTAAGGGTGTAGAGCTGTTCACATTCCAGCTTAGGCTGAGATAATCACTTGCTGATGAGGTAAACTCCTTGCAGTGCTGCCTTGTCTCTGACAAAACACTCCCGAGTCAGTGAGTAATTGACTCTATGGATCATGTGTTAAAATGATGTTCTTGCTGTAGAGGTTTCATGCAATATAAGATGATCATTAGAAGTACTCAGTGGGGTCAAAAATCAGATAGAGAGTAGGCTCTGAGGCATTTTTGCATACTGTCTTTAATGTAGTTGCATGATGGCAAATCTGTGTGTATTTACAGAAATGTTTTTTGCAAAACTAACTGAAAGGATCAGGTTAGACCTTGGAAAGAGACATCTTTAGTTTTAGAGAAAACATTGTTACCATATTTTTTTTTTATCACTGGTTTAAAAAGAAGATACTCACATGTGAATCTTAGGAAAGGAAATAAAATATGTTGTCTTTGAGAATGAACTGTTTCTGTGTTGAAGTAATCAGATACAACATTTCATTAAGTCAGTGTATTGGATGTTTTGACAGGTGCATGAAAGGTCACACACAGGAGACAGACCGTATCAGTGTGAACATCCTGGATGTGGCAAAGCCTTTGCAACAGGTAATCTTTTGTAGACTAGCTCCTCCTGCTTGTCAGTGTTTGTCTCTGTATAAAGTAAGTTTTTCATACTGCCTTTTTTAAACTGCTAAGTAAAGAACTTGGTTGGGAGAACTGAAAAAAAAAAAAGTCATCATTTCAGCTAGCGTAGCATATAGAAATGACAGAGGATTTAACTCTTAGTTACTGAAGGAGGAATGAGGTGAAACACTTGACACTTTCCCTTACTCTTCATGTGTTATGTTACAGTCAGATTTTATGTTGAAAAAATAGACCTTTCTTAACATGAAACTTAATAGCGTAAGTTAAATGAGGTGATAATAAGAAGCTGAACCTGTTGGCTAGAAGTAAATACCTGGTCTTCTGTTCCAAATTTGAAAGGAACTTTGGTGGAAGATGCTGTTTTAAATGTTCTTTATTGAATTTGTATCAAAGAGTGACGTTTCTCAAGAAGCGAACTCATTTTGTACAGACTACTCTGTTCATAAACTATGTTCTCCCTGAGATTGAATTTGATTGTACAAAATGCAATTATGAAGAATGAAACATGGAAGATAGTGAAAGAGCAAAACTTGTTTCAAATTTTATTCTTTTACTTTGAATGTAAATTAGCATAATGCTTAGAAAAGTTAGGCTCTATTTTTAAAAAAAACTTAAGGTGTTTTTAAAATAACTTCGTCTGATCTAATATATTTAATACTGTTTCTTTGAATAGAAACAAGCAAAAGAAATACTGATGAGAAAGGTCAGGAGGGAAACAACCACACTTTAAGGGTTGCACCTAGGTTTAATTGCATAGTGTTTGTAAAGGGATTTCAGAACTACATAACGAAATATTCTCTTCCCTTGCAACAGACTGATGTATGGCTATAAACAGCTGTTTGTCTATTAATACCATATTTTTGGGCAGAGCTATTGTACCACTATAGTTCAGCAATCCTTGCCTTCGAAAAAGTTCATTTTAAGTACTGAATGCTCTCAGTTCAAATATTAAGAACTCTGCTGGGTTGGATCATGAAATTGAGTTTATTTTAGATGTAAGAATGAATTAATGCTCAGCTTGGTGGACATGATTTATGTTTTTAAAGACATCAAGAATAGGAATTTCAGCTGTTTTAGTGAGAACACACTGTGAAACTAAAGCAGGTGCCATTTTCTTACAGACTCTTAATTTATTTTGTAGAAATACATACATCACTTGTGGACACAAGTAAAATTCAAGTTCATTTTCTAAAATGGCTGTTTCAGGGTTCTTTAGTCATGTTCTTTTCAGGGAAGTGCAGAAAAGACAATCTTGGTAAAATGCTCTTTGCAAAATAATTTACAGAAGGCCTGATCCAAAGCTCGCTTTAGACTGATAGAGTTTTTGATGACGATGAGTTCCTAAAAGTAATCTTAAAAGCAATGAGTGTCCGTGACGGCTGTCAGTTGGCACCTATATATGTGGTGATGTTAACAATATGGTTTTAAAATAATTAGAGTTTAGAGCCTGGATAGCAGTAGAGCTTTTACTGCTGACTTCATTAATGGTACTGATTTTTGTATGAGCGAGTAATTAAATGTCATTTTGATGACAGTAGTGGTAAGACATAAAAATTAGATGGATACAGAGCATACAGCTTCCTCAGAAGACAAAATAAATTTGTCCACATTATAATCATTACAGTTTATCCTTTTGAAGGGAAGGAAGCATTATGGAAGTATACTTTCTTTATGAATGAAGGATGAAAGAATTTCTAAACTGTATCTAGAGTTCTGCTGCTCTGTATGGTAGAACGAAGAGCTTGTGAAGAGTGAAAGAGCAAATTTTACTCATCAGGGAGATTCCTGATTGGAATGGCAAGTGCAGCTTTTGATGGTGATGGTTTATGAGTATCCCAATTTTTTGTTTACGCTATTATAATATCCTTTCTGATCTTCAGGGTATGGGTTAAAAAGTCACGTCCGAACACACACTGGTGAAAAGCCTTATCGGTGCACAGAAGAAAACTGCACCAAATCATTCAAGACTTCAGGGGACCTGCAGAAACATATCCGAACACACACAGGTACTATTATTACCCATTTGTTTTTTTTTTTTAATTCACTTAGGTGGATTTTTTTTTCTCTTTGATCATTCTGTGACTTTATACTTATGAAATCAGTCTGTGTATATTCTCTTTCTGAAGCCCAGTGAGCTCAACAGCATTTCAGCATGGTAAGCATTTACTGCAAATCCAGCATGCTTTTCTTGGAAAAAGTGCTTAAGCATTCACACTGCTATTGCAAATGCACTAACTTTTAGCCATGCATCACTTACATTGTCACTGAGTCACTTTGTGCCTTTACAGTTTCATTTGCAGCTGTAACAGAACAAGGAACTTTTTCCTCAATAATATGGCTCGCCTTTTAGAAATGGCATCAGTGTTCTTCAGTTTTGGTGCTTTAAGATAACTTGCATGCCAGCTTCACGAAGGTTTATAGTTCTGAGCTTGTTGTTATCCTGATTTCCCTTCCCTTTTTGCAGCAGAAAAATGAACAAAATATCATAGAAAACCAACTGTTATTAAAAATTCCAAATGCATAAAAAAAAAATCTTACATTTTGTCTAAAAAAGGGTTCATTTGAAAGCCAAAATACAAATAAATTCCAGACAGCATACACTGCATTCTGCAAAACTCTATGGGTGCACACACGTGTAAACAAGTTTGCACAATGTCTCCTTTGCTCCTGAGATCTCCAAAAAAAACAGAAAAAAAAACCTTAAACACAGGAAGAATAATCTATAGCTTACTAGCCTATTCCATTAAGTATATTTACTTGCCTGCTAGATCACCGACAAGTTTTTCCACTGAACTTTGTGAATCTTAGGAGAGTAAAAAAGAACAAAAGAAATAGTTTTTCTCTGATTAAAAAGAACAATGGGGGGACATAAAAGCAGGCAATAAAAATTATAAAAACCTCAAGATTACATTGAGATAATTCTGCTTTCCTGGACTTCTGTATTCAAAGACAGTTTGTTGGGATTAGTGCTATCTTGATGTTAAATTGGTCATCAGGATGAAGACATAAAAGTGTCATCTGTTTTCAGTTCTAGAAGAGAACTGCTTCACGTTATGTAGTACATCAAGTATAGCCTATAAACTGAAATATTGCTGTATTATGGACAACTTGATTAGCTGTAGACTGTTTTCTTTACTTCTTTATGGCCATGGGAGTTGTATGGTAATTTAATTGCTTTAATCTAATTTAGCAGTTGAGACAAAAGACTTGAGCCAGCCCTATGTAACCATTTACCCATTTGAACAATATTAATAATACAGTCATAGACTCCTGGCAGTCCAGAGACTGGAGTTCAGGGGTGTCGTCTTTTAGATTTATGAGTAGCTGCAGGAAGCCAAAGAATGAGAAGGAAATTGCCCCAAGTCCTTGGTGCAGATGGATGGAGTAGTGTATGCTCATACCCTATGCAAGCTGCAACAGTGCACCCGATGGAGGCAAGTCTGGGCTCTGCCCGCCCTCTCCCATGGCTCTGAAACCTTTTTGTTCCTTTATCATGTAGAGCAGGGTTAGTGCTTTCTTCATTTTCTGCCTGTTTTAGCCAAAAGTGATTTTCCCCTCTCTTTCAGTGGCAGTCCAGTCTCACTTTCTGTTGCCATCAAATGCTTGCCTCGGGTTCCTCCATGGCTTCCCGAGTACTATTCTGGTATCAGAAGAGCTGGTGTGGGTGGTTCTTCATAGCTGCTGTGGGGTAGAGCTTGAAGGCTTCTGACTTGCTTTGCATTTCTAGTGCTGGAAATCTCAGTCACCTGGAAACAGGTTGCTTTTCGAACAAGTACATGAGAAACTTAAAAGGCTGGCCTCACCAACCGGTCGGATGACATTCTTGCGGGCATTCTTTAAGAGCAGTCTGGTTTGGTTTCTACTGCAGGGTCTGTTGTTGGGCGGGGTTGACTCTGCAGCGCTGTTCCTTTCAGGCACGATTTGAGGTTCTCTGCTGAAGCAAGGATTAGGGGAGCCATGGTAACACAACACTGAGGCTTGTACGCTTAATACACACACACTGCCTTGGCAGGAAGCTGAAAAACCTTCCCGAAACAGCTGCCCTAAGGAGTGAATTATAGTTTCTTCTGCCAAGGAGCTAACCACTTTGGAGTTTCGTGGTATTAATGTCTCTATCAGGACTTTGTTTTTTTTCTGTCTGTCTCTAAGTACTTAATGTTGTATCTGTAGTGGTAATCTGCCGTCTCTTGCTCTCAGATTCTTCTCTTTGGTAAGCAGTACAGTGGGTGGAATGTATTTAGCTCTAGGAAGTGTGCAATTACAACCAGACAGCATGTCAGGTGTCTCACACTTCTTCTCCAAAGTTAACCCCCTTCACTCTCCCTCTCTGTGTGCTTTGATAGATCTGAAAGGTTAGGCGTATTGGGGTATTAGACAGGGGTTGGCCTTATCTAGTGTTCATGGTGAAATGTTTTGGTGCAATGATGTAAGTTATTGTGCTTAAGTTTATATTATGTGAATAGACTTATTTTAAAAAGAACATGTATTTGGGATTGCTTAGGTTTTGGAGTTTGAAACTTGAGTTTCAGGGCTGTCTCTCTTTAAAAAGTTGGTTCTTCTCATGCAAGGTTAAGTGCTTTCTAGAATCAGTTTTACTAATCTATTGGTATCTTGTATATGCCAAATCATTAAGGTATTTTTTTCATTTTATGAATTACAATTGACAAATGTACAAATGGTATGATAGCCTTGTTTTGGGTAATGTATGTATGAACTGGAGGGGGGCTGTTAAATACATGTTAGAATATGGACAATGTGGAAGCTAATCCAAGCAACTGAGTCTGTTTTATACACCATAAAGTACTAATCTAAGTGCTTCATAATTTAGCTTACAGATTGTATGATTTTCCTGAATTTTGCCAGTTCTGGCTAAACAGTAGAACACTCCACAGTGACAGGTTCACAGTATTTCTGACTGAGGGTCTCAGAGAGAATTAGGTAGCTTTAGATTCCTACCTTCAGTCTAAGTGTAACTTAGGATTTTTGTTCTTTTATAACTTTTGCATGTGTACCTTTTCTTTTCTTCTTTTTCAGGCGAAAGGCCCTTTAAGTGTCCATTTGAAGGATGTGGCAGGTCATTCACAACATCTAATATTAGAAAGGTTCACATCAGGACACACACAGGCGAAAGGCCTTATTACTGTACAGAGCCAGGATGTGGGAGAGCTTTTGCCAGTGCAACTAATTATAAGAATCATGTGAGAATACACACAGGTATATGAAATGATGTTTTCTATTTTGAAGTGGAATCTGCTTGGGAGAGGCTGTGTCAATTCTTGTGAACACTGTTTTCGTGCATTGTAATTGGATATAGTCATGTTTATATGACCGGGCTTGGTACTTTTGTTTGGGACTTGTCTCCCCTCAGCTGAGGGTAGTTAAGGAGTTAGGTTTCTCACCTCACTGTCAAGGCAGAATAATTTTGGTTTGGATACAAAGTTCTTTAAAACGAATGCAAAACCTGGTCTTCAGTGGACACTGGGCTAAAACCTTAATATGGTTCTGGGGCTTGCCTCTGTTGTGAGCTGTTTCTTAAATAACAGTAAAGCACAAGTCTGAGCTTGACTTCAGCTCACCATTGTGAGTCACCCTTTCATCCCAGGTGTATTTTCCTTGCTGCTGGAGCAGTGGTCAAAACCTTTTTTTTTTTTTATAGACTGGAGGTGAAAATACTTATCCAACCTGATTATCAGGGTGAGTTAGCAGAAATAATCTGCACAAATTTGAAGGTTGTAAAATGTAAATGCCAGTGATAGCCATATCATCTTGGTAGCCTTATATGTTTTATAGAAGCACAGACGACGTTTCATAGAGGTACGTTTTGTATCTCAGATTATCTTTTTAGTTTGTAATGTAATTTGGACATTTGTTTCCTTGGTTTTTAAATGAAAGGTGTTTTTATATGAAACCATAATTGTTCAAACATATGCTTCCTATAGATTTCTTCAGAGCTTAAAGACTCAGAAGTAAGTGAAATTGTACCAGTGTATCAACATACGTGATCATTGAGGAAAACATGGGGCTTCCAGTAATAAAAGAACAAAATTCTCAATACGGTGCCAAACTGACATTGCAGCTTTCAGCCTGTATTATTCTGTCTTCATCAGAAGGATGTGTTAGGTGGAATAATAGGGAGAAAAAAGGGCCTAACTTCTACGGGCAGTAGTTTTTAAAAAAAAAGACCATGAGAGGCTGCATTGGTAAGCTTTGTGAGCTTGAGCTTCACTGTTGCTTTTGAAATTGAAGTGTGGATGGTAATGAAGGTGTGTCACTAAATAGCATTTGTTGACAATTTTTCCTGTGCATCCTGGATAAACTTCTCTTTATCCCTTTTGTTTTTCCATACAGGGGAGAAGCCCTATGTCTGCACAGTTCCTGGTTGTGATAAGCGTTTTACGGAGTATTCCAGTTTATACAAACATCATGTTGTACATACTCATTCCAAACCATATAATTGTAATCACTGTGGGAAAACATACAAGCAGATTTCTACACTTGCTATGCACAAGCGGACAGCACACAATGACACAGAGCCCATTGAAGAAGAACAAGAGGCTTTTTTTGAGCCACCTCCAGGTTAGAGTTTCAGTCTTTGAATCTCTTGTTGTAAAAAATGGGCTGGATAATATTGTGCTGGTTTTTTTATAACCAAGGAAATGAGAGCATAGATAAAAAATCTGAAGTACTTAATAAAGTTATTTAGCTTCTTTGTAGGACTTTTTAGTGTGGTAGGCAACTTGTAAACAGAAACCGAGAGAGTAATTGACCAGATCATAAACTCATTTATAGCAGTCCTGGGGATAAGAGAGAAATTTGAGTCGCAGCCCCAGCAAACCTGCTATAAACATGAATGTGGAAAGGTGCCTGAGAGAATCTAAAATGTTTATGTTTGCAACCTACTGGATTTTTCTTAGGTGTTTTTCTAAGAGTATGTATAACACCACGGTTGGTGGCAGTCTTTTGTGCAAGAGTAAAGGCACTGCCTTGAGAAATGGAAAATCTGTCTTTGCAGCACCCTGATACTGTGCTGGTTTTGCTGCAGTTAATAGCAGCTTCTGTAAACTGCCGTAGAGGCACAGATGAAAATAAGCTCATGTGCCACAGTACTCCTTGGAATATGTTTTTCATGGTATCATGAGTATTGAATCCTATGACTATAAAAGATCAGACTGAAGGAAGTACTGTGATAGGACAAATATCACTTGTCAAATTGTGATTTTTAGATGTGATTGACGATAGGAAATACACGCGCAACTGTTTTGGTCAGGAGAGTTTTTTTACTACACATCTGTGGGAAGCTGCACTGAATGCCTCAAGCAGATTTGCTATAGTCTAATTCCTTCTTCTAAGGGAATGATAAAATTCATTTGCTGAGGTTAAACATTTATTAAGATCATGAACTTACATCTTCACACAAAGGCATCACTGTGTTCTTGTGTATGTTTGTTAATTAGTAACTTTTTAAAAGCTGCCAGTTGTGTTTGCATGGACCCTCTTGTATGGAGAGGGTAACATTTAATAAATGCATTAGAAATATTTGTCACCGTTTTAATATTTGCTTATAAACTAAATGTATACATTTTCTTTTTGTGAGTATTTGTGTGTTAAAACTCATTGCTAAAAGATTATACCCCATGTTCCCAAAACAACAGACTTTGACTTGCGTTTGGTATCTTTCCTTCTTTTATTTTTCTCATCTTTCCACTAAAATTTTTCCATTGGAGTGTTTAAAACCTTGAAACCAGGCTGACACTTAATCCTTGTCATTTGCTTTCATGGCAGCATTTAGAGTATGTAAACTACCCTCTTGCCTTCTTTGTATCAAACAGGTCAAGGCGAAGATGTTCTCAAAGGCTCCCAGATAACCTATGTGACAGGTGTGGAGGGAGAAGATGTCATTTCTGCACAGGTTGCTACAGTTACTCAATCAGGATTAGGTCAACAAGTAGCACTAATATCCCAGGACGGAACGCAACATGTAAGTAAACCCCAGTGTTAAAGAGCTGACAAAAATACGTTGAGAACTGAGGCAGGTGTTTGCAGGTACTCCATGTGCTTTCTAAAATCACTTCGGATTCTTGATAAATACTTATGTGGGTTTCTTAAGGGAAGAAGCTTCTTTGGAGCTGGGCCGGGGTATGTTTAGGGTTGGGCCTCCTGTGGAATACCTAAATTAAACCACATATTCTGACATCTGAAACTATTAATAGAAAGCCAGATTTTTTTGGCTATCCTTGTTATCTTTGTCACTCTTAAAGCAGGCATAGGCTATTTTAACAATTGTTATATATACAGTCTACTTTCTGAGGTTTCTCGGAATTCCCTGATTATTCTATTAATGTCTGATGGTCATCTTCACTGGACACACTTGCAGTCTTGTCTGCACATCCTGGGAGGGGTGGAGGAGTGGGAAATCTTTCTAATCTAGGTGCCTGCTTTACAAGCTGTTTGGTAGTGTGCAGTTCTTACAATTTCTAACATAAACAAGAGGATAAGGAATGCTTTGATACTACCTCCGCTTGAAAATTCCTATGGGTATATTGTTTTAAGGATTCCTATAGATATATTTTTTAAGGATTCCCATGGATATATTTTAAGGACTTCATATGAAATTTCATTGGGCAGGGATTTCAACACAACTCTTTCATTTAGCTATGGCAATATATCGAAGGCATATTGGGAAAGGTTTATATCTCGGCTGGAAAGGCAGCTAAAATGCCAGTAGCATATGAAAGATATCTTCTAAATTCAAATTGGAAATGAAATATTAAAGGGGGCTCTTATATTGCCAACCCTGAACATTGCAGCAATACTAAGTAACTGGCATTTTTACCCTCTAAAATGAAGGTCTGCAAAAGCCTTGACATGGAGTTCTCGCATTTATTTAAATTGTCCTTCAGCTTGACTTTACTTCTGGGATGTTTTATCACCTTGTAAATCAGACATCAAATCATGTATCTGATGCCCTAATGCATTTATACTGGAGACATCAGTAACTTATATCATTATTTTCTTATGAATTGTTTATTTGTGGTTTAAATTCTAAGCCCTCATAGGCCTCTTTAGTACTTCTATTAAGTTAAAAGTATGTCAGATGGAGTACCATCTCAAGGTAGTAACCTTGAGTCACATTGTCCACTGTGTAAGACACATGCATAGATCATCTATCATGCAGTTATTTGGGATATCATCTGATTAACAAGGAGTTGTAGACTCTGGGGGCAAGTATGCATCCTTTTTCTTATTACTGAGAGCCAAAATTGTATTTCCATAAACAGGTAAGTGTGTCTGAAAGGTCATAGAATCATAGAATGCTTTGGGATGGAAGGGACCTTTAAAGGTCCCCTAGTCCATCCCCCCCTGCAATTGGCAGGGACATCTGCAACCAGATCAGGTTACTCAGAGCCCCATCCAGCCTGTCCTGGAATGTTTCCAAGGATGGGGCATCTACCACCTCTCTGGGCAACCCGTTCCAGTGTTTCACTACCTTCACTGTAAAAAAATTCTTCCTTATATCCAGTCTGAATCTACCCTCTTTTAGTTTAAAACCATTACCCTTTGTCTTATCGCTACTGGCCCTGCTAAAAAGTCCCTCTCCATCTTTCTTATAAGCCCCCTTTAAGTACTGAAAGGCTGCAATAAGGTCACCCCGCAGCCTTCTCTTCTCCAGGCTGAACAGCCCCAGCTCTTTCAGCCTTTCCTCATAAAAGAGGTGCTTCACCCCTCTGATCATTTTTGTGGCCCTTCTCTGGACCTGCTTCAACAGGTCTACGTCCTTCTTGCACTGAGGACCCCAGAGCTGCATGCAGTACTCCAGGTAGGGTCTCACCAGAGCAGAGTAGAGGGGCAGAATCACATCCCTTGACCTGCTGGCCACACTTCTTTTGATGTGGCCCAGGATACGGTTGGCCTTCTGGGCTGTGAGCGCACATTGCTAGCTCAGGTTCAGCTTTTCGTATATCAGTACCCCCAAGTCCTTCTCAGCAGGGCTGCACACAATCCCTTCATCCCCCAGCCTGTACTGATACTGGGGATTACCCCGACCCAGGTGCAGGACCCTGCACTTGTACTTGTTGAACCTGATGAGGTTCACACAGGCCCACCTGTCCAGATCCCTCTGGATGGCATCCCGTCCCTCAGGCAATATTAGATCCCAATCAGTAAGATGAATGCGATGAGGACTCTTTGTCCAGGATGGGGACTTGGCCAAAGAGTGATGATGATTCTTAAGGAATGCATGAGCATGCTGGTCAGGAAGCAGAATAATGGCTACTAGATCTTTTGGCCAGTGATCATGGCTTTTGACTTGTGATCATGGCTTAAAATATTTTTTCCCTGCTATTATGAACAAGTTGCCTTTTTGTTCTGGATTGCTACACATTTTGTTTCAAATGAAGAACCAACTAGCAGGAATTTGTTTGAGAAATGCTGTTACACTTCAGATGCATATCATCAGGTTTTTTTCAAACCTTACTTAAAAACATACGTTACGTTGCCAGAAGCTAAGACTTAGGTATGACTTGAGCAGCAATCAAACTTTCTTTTTTTACTTCAGGAATTATTTTGTGTTTCAGGTCAACATATCGCAGGCAGATATGCAGGCCATTGGCAATACTATCACTATGGTAACACAAGATGGCACCACCATCACAGTCCCTGCCCATGACGCCGTCATCTCTTCTGCAGGAACACATTCCGTAGCAATGGTTACTGCAGAAGGCACCGAAGGACAGCAGGTAAGATACATGTGTAATGTTCCTTTATAAGATGATATAAAATAGGCAGCTAAGGCATCACAGTTCTGTCATTCACATAGATTTATTTAAGTAAAGCAGTTTTCAACACTTGGCCATAGCATTCCCCTCATAAGAGTATGATGTGTTCTGCTCCAGTGCTATACATCAACATATGGCAGAATGTTTTTAAAACAATTGGGCACCAAAAAAAATACTGAGGTACCAGTCCAGTAATTCATTTTGGTGTATGTAAACTAAGACCTAGAAATGCTAAACATTTTCCCCAAAGTCACATAGTAAGTGAGTGGCAGAGCTAAGAATAGAATCCAGAATGAACTGTAACTTTATCACTTAATATTATGGGCCTGTAATTTATTTGGCAGATAGGGAACATTTGTGTAAGTATATATTTGCGGGTTTGTTTCTAATATACAAATACAATAGCTAACTTTTTTAGTAGAAATATAGTGATATAATTTTTAATCTTTAAGTTAAAATGCATTCCACTATTCTAAAAATGTGTCACGTGAAAATTAAGATACTTATTAATCACTGTGCTCTGTATGTATAAATAATCACAGGCTTATAGGCACATTTAATGAATTTCTGTGCCGTTCTGGGGATATTTGTATTTTGAGAGCTAATAGATAACTTTGAGAACACAGTGATGGCAATCTTTCTTAAAAAATGTATCTTTTGCACAATAAAATTATGCTCATGAGTAATCACAGCTTTGAATTTATCTTTAACTTTGAAGATAACCATTGTATGAGGTCAGTAACGGTAACGGCTCTGTCATCCAGTTGATTCTCTTCCTTTGGTCTTGAAGGTTGCTATTGTGGCTCAAGACTTAGCAGCATTTCATAGTGCCTCATCAGAAATCGGACATCAGCAACATGGGCACCATTTAGTGACTACAGAAACTAGGCCTGTTACATTGTTGGCTACATCCAATGGAACACAAATTGCAGTACAGGTAAGATGGTGATAAATGTTTTTTTGGAGTGTTTCTTACTCCTAGAGCTAGAAGCTCCTAGTCATGTAACAAAATGATTTGATAAGCTTGGCTCCCCTGAAAAAATAGTCCATAACCATATGATCTCATACTTTAAATAATATATAGGGTTAGGAAGAGGAATAATAAGCATCTGATCTTTCCAAATCTACTTGTAGAGCTTCCAAAAAAGGGGGAGGTTAGAGGAGGGCCAAACTTCAGGTCAACTGAATCGTTCATGGAGTCACAGGTTTTCAGTGGAAAAGCGCTTTCATTCATCCTTCAGCATTACTTATAGAACTGATTATATATAAAGCCAAACTCTCAAGAGTAAATTGGTATGAACTTATACAGATAAAATTACTGAATTTATGTTATTTGAACTTTGAAATGCTAATAGCGAAAAAGTGTAAACTGTTATATAGAAAGATTAATAATCGGAAATCTCTGGAAATAGTAACCTTCTGTTTATGTGTCAGACCAGCACAGTACAAGCAGCAGTCTCTGTAAATAGTTCCTCACATTGTCCAGACACTGTAATGGAAGAGTAATTTCTAGGTATGAAAGAGTTTATTTTAAATTGGGCTAATTTAAAAGAAGGTGGAAACCAAGCACAAATTAAGCTTTTGTCTAAAAAGTAACCAAAACCTAGACAAGTATTTTTGTGAATAGTTTATTCAGAGGGAAGCTCAGCTTGACTGGAAGGTTGAACGAAACTTCTAGTGCAAATGATGGCCAGTATGCTCCTTACTCAAACATTAAATTAACTATGTGTATATTTTATTTTGTTACATATGATATGATGGTAAGTTAATAGAAGCTTTTGGAAATTTTAAATCTGGAAGATTCAGTATTTTAAAAATTTATCTCTTTAAATGACATTGCAGTCAAGGGTCAAATAGATGACTGAAGGATCTTAGGGAAATTGCCACTCCAATGACAGAAGTCAATTTTAAACTCAAAGTAAAATAAAAGGAGTTGAATTAGTTTAAATTTTGGGTTGCATAGCAGTATCAGTCCTGCAAAGTACCTAATACTTTTGGTCCACCTTGTAGTCCTCTCGATTCTGTGCTTAACTATGTGCATAAATAAGAAGTCCAGTGGGAATGTAATGAAGCTACATTTTTATTCAAATTTACTGTGGAATTGGGACTCAACGCTTTGTGGGTTTGATCCTATTGTTGTCTGGGTATCACCACAGACACACATTTTGTTCTAGAGAGCATGGAAAATCACAGAAACCATATGTCGTGAAACACTATACAATTACGAGGAGGATAATTTTCATGGATGTGATACACCCTATGAATTTCAAAGGGAGTTGAGTATATGCAACTGTCTTGAGTATGGTTTGCATGATGGGCCTTCGCGCTGACAAATGTCAATATAAAAGAACATCAGTGTGGCTATGCAGAGAGGAGATGCTCAAAAGAGTTTCCAAACAAGTCAGCATTAAGCAGCGTAAGTTAATACATGTTCTTGGAAGGTTCTTGGAAATAGCTTCAAATAGAAAAAGAAATGCAGAAAATGCACTGACAGATTTCATTTCCAGGGGGTAAAATACACTTTGCGTGTGGAAGTAACAGCAACTTAAGTCTGGTTCATTCAGACTGTTCATATTTGCTGAAACTAATGAGAGATCAAAACCTTTGAGCATTTGAGTCTCAGGATTAATGCTGCAGTCTAAGTGTATGTATGCACAGTACTCTCTTAAGAGCTCAGAGTGAAAGGAACTGTGTTAATATCTTCAAGCAGAAATGAGAGATTGTTATTTTCCACTTTGTTAAAGTGAATATAGCAACTCAGATGCTGATTGAAGAACAATGGAAGTTGAGAAGCTCTTAATTCTGAACTCCTGTCTTCTAAGCTAAGTTGGCAGTAATCAAAACTGCATGTAAGAGAAAGCATATCAGAAGGCAATTGTTTGCATGAGAGGAAGGAAAAAAGTAACTTGCACCCTCAGCAGTGTGTCCTTTGAATGAAAGTAAAACATAGGCTGATAAAGCCAGTAGCCTGATAACCGGATTGAAATCCTAAGGGGGTGGTAACAGACCTCTTCTTGATTTGAGTGGCTCCAGAATGTGATATCCAGTGACTGTAAAAACAAGTTAGAAGCGATATTTAGAACTGCCCCATTAGGTGTATCCATCTGTCAAATCTGTTTTTACTTTTCACACTCTCATACATCTTTCTCCCGAGCCAATAGGTAACGGCCAACTTTACGTTTTTGTTAGGCTGAGGTTCTCTTCAGTGTTCCCATCTTTGGATATATGTGCATGGTGTACATATTATAAAACTGCATGGATTCTTTCCCAAAATTGTGTCCAGTTGTCTTTATTCAGGGTTGATTCATGTTGCTTCTGACAGTGCCAGATACATTGATGGCCTTGTAGTTGCAACTACAAGATATTTTCCTCTTTAAACTACTGTAGAATCAAACAGTGTCGTGATGACTGCTTTTTTATACAGTCAGGATTCTGCAATAAGTATACACTTTTTATATATATTAATGTCATATGGTGTTCCAAAGAGCTGACTTTCTGCAAAAGAGTTAAGAAAAATGAAGATGTTTGTTTGCTTTACCAGTGTTAAAATGTAATTCAACAGCCACCATGGCTTTTGAAAACCTTATCTTAGCTTTGTTGTATCTGCCAAGTTGAAATATCCACTTTGTGTGTCATGAAATGTGTTTACCATGCAGCAGTTCTTTGAAGAAAATTTATTCGGTAGATACATAGAAACTCAGTTTAATCTGCTATCAGAAGCTATCTTAATTGTCATGCTGATTAGATAGCCGCTAGTGTATATTACCCAGAAGAGGTGTGACAATACTGATCGCTTATTTGTGCTAAAGTATTGCTCCAAATCTAGATCTTTGGTTTCATCTTTAAATTTTTTTTTACACATTTATATCCATATGTAACATTTTGGATTTATTTATGTTTAAATGCATTTGTTTCAGCTTGGAGAACAACAGTCTCTGGAAGAAGCCATTAGAATAGCCTCCAGAATACAACAGGGTGAAACGCCAGGGATTGATGATTAACTTCTAAAACTGCTACCGGAACAATAGAGTGAAAGGTATTTTATTTTCAATCAACAAAGGTCCATGCCAGCAGCAACCCATAAAAACTTTGAAGTTCCCTGCTCGTTGATACTCTGTACACATTTTATGCAAGAGCGAAGAACATTTTGTAAGTTTTGTGTACATAACCCTTGGAATGGACTGACATCATCTACTTCCAACCATTGTATATTCAGGAATATGGAATTAGGATTATACAGTAAATTTCCTTGTTATCCTTTCATCAGATTTCAGACTGGTCTACAAGCAAGTGAAAAAATAAATAGAAGTATTGGAATTAATTTTTAATCTCATGTACAAATAATGAAGGCATTACTGAAGATTTCAAATGTTCAAAATACTATTAAAAATCATCATTTCAGGAACCCTTACAAGTAATAAAGACGACAAAGCCTTTTAAATTGCATTCCATAAAAGGAAAAGTCTTGGATTTTGAGCCTACTGTAAATCTTCGTATTTTGATTTGTTTCATACAGATTTGAATACTCTTTAGATTATCCACCCCATCTCATTCATTGTAAATACAGACTGTTAATGCTGGAAGTGCTAATTATATTATCTTTAAATTGGATTATGTACAAAGGAGAAACTTTGGTTGTTCAATATTAAAGGAAGTAAATCTAATGATTTTGTTTCTTTACATATTTTACTGAAGATGTTACTCTCAAATTATTATGCAATAAAATATAGCAAGATTGTATTGTCTAGATAGGATGATATTGTCGTGTGACGTACTGTTTTACTTTTTAATGAGACTGAAGTTCAAGTTATTTATTTACGGCCTTGTATAAATTTTTCCAAAGTTTATTTATCATAAATTTTTGACATTAATTTTGATCATAATCCACTATAGTGTATTAAGAAATTAGTGTTAATAGTTATTTTAAACACTCTAAAACACTACAAGAATTATTAAAATAGTAATTAGTCAACCAATTTTGACTAAAAAGTAAACTACCTGTTTTCAAGAGGAATATTTTCAAATGGTGCATTTGCGGCATAAGTACAAGTACTAATAGTCTGTTTTCAACAGTTCTGAGTGCCTGCTGCTACCATTCAGTACCTAGGATATGCTGATAATCAGTGCTTTTGAAAATCAGGACACAAGTTACTAGAAAAAAAGGGATTAATTAATGATGATGTAAGTACAATGCTCCTTTCCACCTGTCATTCTGTAAAGGAAAAAAATCCGTTGTAGATAGTCTAACACATACAGTAAAACATAACTTTAAATTTTTTTATATCAAAAAGTGTCTTTACTCTTGTCTTGTTAGTAAGCTTGTTAAGCAAGTTAAAATTTTTTGGCTTCATGTAAGATTCAGTGCTTATTTTAGATAAGTGTCAAGAGCACTTCTGAAACTGAAGCCTCACCTTTTACCTTCTCAAGGGAAGGATTAAACATCTTCTGGATGAAGTGTTAATCAAGTAATCATTGTAAGTATTGTGAGGTACACATTTTACATAAAAAATAAAGTCCATAACTATGTATCTTGAGGTATTTGACCTCAGAAAGGCCAAGTTTGACTAGAATGAAGCTAATTTATTGTGAATTACTTTATCAGTGTGGGTTGCAGCCTTTTATGTTTTTCATACAGATGGCCAACTGAAAAGTGCAGTGAAAGAATACAGTACTGTGGGATAGATGTGGACAAAGCAAAGACTATTCTCTGGATCCGTTGCAAAGTAAAACTTGGAAACATTGAGGTTGTCTGTAACTTTTGTATAGGATTGAGGCTGCTTGCTCACTTAGGTGCCAGTTTTCCTGAAGTGTTGTAATTCTTGATATCCCATGGAGATAAATGTACTATGCAAGGAGGATTAATTGCCTGTCAACTAGATCAGTTTCTTAGTACTTATCACCTTTTAGAAATTAAAGATGTATCATTTGACATGAACGTTCAAGGTTTTTTTCTTAAATTTCATTGCTAATAGTTTCTGGAAACGGTGGCTGGAACGGTGGCTTTGACTTAGCAAAGAAATAACTTCGGTTCTTATTTCTTCTCGTTTCCCAGGACATTTTCTGACCACTGTACAAATGTGAGTATTCTTTCCTCTTTGATACTAGTTGGTTTGCTGCAAGGCATTCAGAACTAGCTCAGGCAGGAAAAGCTGCAGTATTTTTAAAATTATTGCTCTTACCGGTATCTTACCAGTTATTCTTGTAAAACTCCCAAGTCAAACGTTGTGCTTCCATGTTGGTGATAGCTACCCCTACAAAGGAAAACATACTTACTGAATAAATAAGCCAGACTGACTTGGACTGCTCAGGGTTTAAAAAGAAGCTGAGGTGATTATATGCATCTTAGCTGTGAGGCCTGTATTCATAATAGACTTGTTTTCAGAGTGGAGAGACCTGTGTGATTTTTCTACCCTGCTTCCATTCAGATTGGAGTAGAAGGAGCTGTTTTGGTAAGCTGATGTGTGTGTTGGTGTCAAAGGACCTGTAGTGGAGATCAGACAGGATGAAATCGGGTTAGATAGGAATATTAGTGAAAAGGATTTCAGGAGGAGGAAACAGAATATGACAAAAAGGATTGGGCTTTTGGCAGTAGAAATCTCTATTCTTTCCCCATAGATTTTACTCATTGACAGTTCTGTCTCAAAGGGAATGCTTTGGCACACTAGAAGGAAATAATTAGTAAAAGAGAAATCCTGTAAAGTAAGGCAACTCAGTATATCACTTCCTCTTACAAATTGGCTCCCACGTTTCCAGCATTCCCAGTCACTTTCTTCTTTCAGATCTGAATTCCAAGCCTACACCAACTCCTCCCTTAAAGGACTAAACCCAAAACCTCTCTAGACTTTGCAGTCAAGTTTTGCCTTTTAAATGTTTCTACCGTTTTTCACCACTGTGGGCTTTGCTTTTCTTTACTGTAGTTCAGTGCCTCTCCTGACAGTAATAAGAGAGAGGCAATTATTTTCGGTGCTCCAGGCTGATGACCTATTGTGCCAGACACACTAACATAACAATAGGACAGTTTTTACCCTAAAGAGCTAATGCCAAAGCACACATGAATAGGCTGACACTGGAAGAGTGTGTTTTTATAAGAGTAAATCCTGAAGCCTGACAACCAAAGTGGTAAACAGCCATAATCCCTGATGGTATAATTAATCTCAGCAACCGATCAGCTGACCGATACCAGAGATATTCAGGCACAGTGTGGGAGAAAAGGCATGTGGTGTCTGCTTAGCACACAAGAGAAGGACAGAGCTGATAGTCCAGATAAACAAAATGTCTGACCTTGGAAGGCAGTTCTTCCTAAACTTTACTCTAGTTCCTAACCCTCATAACCCCTCAAATGCTGCCGAGAGTAATTTGTTTGACTAGATGCTCTGGTTTCTGTGATGATTATGCTGTGCTAGAATACGGAAAAATCACTCTGCATGCTGTGTACTTCTCAGACTGCAGAGTCAGGGACCCTTCCTGACCCTTCCCCAGGGACGTGAAGCTACTTAATCGGTATTTAGCCACCAGGAAAAGATGGTATGGAGTGAGGATGTGATCAAGAGTTTCTGAATCTGGCAACTTCAGCACTACAGCTGTTGAGGTTAGTCAGATTGCACACCTCAGGATGACCATAGCTTCTACTTACCAAGATGCAGAAGTGCCCTATAACAAGCCTTTTCCAGTCACTCTTAGTTTATCATTGAATGAAAACAATTAAATGTTCTGTAAAATTTTCTGGGTACTTTTCAAATATAGAACAGATGAAATTTCACCAATAGTTGGGTGGGAAGCAAACTGATATTCTTGAGCAGTAAGGCATTAAGAGACTGGAAATGAAAGGTAATTTGTGTTCTGTTCCGCTATTACTTTACAGTTGTTTGGAACTTTAAAAGTGTATTTATTCAGCCTGCATCATTTTTGTCTCAAAAAAGATAGAAATTAACACATGCCTTGTCTTTGCAGATGCATAAATCCAAACTCCAGCTGGTTGTCAATAGTAAGGTACTCCTTTTTTTTTTCTTTTTTTTTTTTTGCAAAGCAGTATATATTTGAACACCAGATCCCCCAAAAGTATTTTTTGATCCATTGATAAAAACCTTCCAAAGCTTGAACCCCTATGACAAGAGACCAAAAAATCAAGAGCCACTTTCAGTTCTCGTGTCGTAAACTACACTCCAAATAAGGCACAGAAACAAGCTGTTTTCCTTTCGTTACGTGTATTTCAAAATGTAGCTTAGGTGTTGCCAGCAGTTTGCCGTTCCTTTGATGCTATTTTTCATTCTGCTAGTAAAGTTCACTTGGCCAAAGGAAAATCTAACAATCTAATTAGACCATCACCATTAGCAGTAAATGGTTGACACCTAAGCCTATCAGGAATGTGATACCAGACTTTTTCAACTGAGGGTTATATTCAAAGCAGACTTTAATTATCCCAATAAACAAGCTTATATCAACAAGCAAGCATTTTGTCCCACAGAATCTGTGTATTTATCTCTAATGGAAATGTGACCCCCTTAAATCCCATCCATCTTGGGTTCTGAAGAAGTAAGAGATTTTATTTGCCTTATTTTTGTTCTGTTTAGATTATTTGAAGCATTTTACTCAAAGGAATGGCAAAACATTTACACTTTCAGGGCATAAGTGATTGTGTGGCATTTTTTTCTATAACAAAACAGTGTCTTACGCTGTTTTAACTGTTAAAACCCCAGCATTTTACCCTTTCCTTTATTTAAATCCCTCACCAGCCTTTAGGTTGACTGGCTGCTGTGTTTCACTTATTTTTCTGGGGAGTTTTAGACTCTCCATCGTGTTACTGCTTGATTCTGTAGTATTTGGCTGAGAGGCTTCTGAGCAGGTATCTTAGTGAGGCAAGACAGGGAAAAGAGGCTGACTTCCTAACATCTGGCAGGTCTGCTGGCGTAACAGAAACTACCACATGGCTGTAGAAAGCTTCTGGAGAAATGACAGCATCCCAAAACTACATCTCCATAGGCTTTTTGCTTTGGTGCAGAGCTAATTCAGATTTGAATATAGGTTGTAATGACTGAAAAGTCAGAAAGTACAAGAATGGTTCGTGGGACAGACAGGATTAGCAGCTTTTTTGTTTTTAAACAGATACATTCAAGACAATGAGACAGATTTTTGAATGTATGTAGGTTCCTGAGGATGGTATTAGTGGGAAGAAGGCGACTGAGCTTCTTGAAACTCTTACTAGGCTTTTATCTTTTTATCTGCATCTTTAAAAAATGTATGCAAAATGTCTTACTTTAAATGATATGCATAAGAGATTATTAAAATGAATAGTAGTAAATTTGAAAAAAAGGCTGAGTACCTCTTTTATGGTTTTGCATGTTCCCTGAAGGAGAAAAACGAAGGAGGTTAGTGATACTGGTTAATTAGTAGTGACTATTTAATTTCTGTGCATTAGACATTTTGAGGTTTTTAACTGCAGATACAAAATCTTGACTTCTGTTCTACTCTGATCATTTTAACTTCAGCGCAGGAATGGGGCATTCTAATTGTACCTGTTTTCAGTCATAGCAATCATTCTGTCTCTTCAACTTTTAGGATGTTTTGGAGGAAATTTTTGATCTGAATACAGATTCTTTTGCCATTTACTTTGTAAGCAGAGATTTCAAGTGTTAAGAGGCAGACAGGCAAAAAGGGAGTCACTAAA